AATTTCGAATTTATTTAAAAAACTTTTTAAATGAATTAATTAATGAATCATTTGATTTATAGTTATAACGGAAAATCATCGTTTGTAAAGTTGAAGGCATAGAGTCTATTTGAAATTATCATTGGTCAATTATGAAACCAGCCTATTTCATAATTTGGTTTTCTTTTAATATTAATTTTAGATTTTCTATAAAATGATGTTCCAGGGCCCAAAAGGTTATATAGCGCAAGTGAAGTACACCTGCAGTAAGGAAACAGTACAACAAAATGGCCGTTTTACACTTTTTTCTAGTAAATTCCACTCTAATATATATTCTGTTCTCTTTGGGTTAGAGGCTGGGCAATAGAGACATACTCAATTCACTCAATTTAATTTAATTAAAGCGTGTTCTCTAGCAAATCACTATCATCAACATATCATTAACATCAAAAAATATTCAAAATTATTAATCATTATGAAAAATTTGGTTGAATTCAAAAATTATCTGCGTTTTTCAGTTTGCACAAAAGTCTCAATAGTTAGCTGACTTTAGTTCCCAGGAAATTATGCCAACTTTTTAATCACAAAAAAAAATTATTCAAAAATGAAGGAAGGTCGAGGGAGGGGGCGCGCCCAGGATCGCAATTAAGATGTCGGGAAAATAATTCTGGACTTTATATGTTCCACATCGGTTTGTCAGACGAGGGAGGAAAGGCAACCTCTCCTGCACAGCTTCCCAACCTCATTTTACCTATTTGCGGCAGTGCGCGTCCCCCGAGGGCTTCCGAACCTTCCCCAAAAAGTCTTCCCTCGGGGGACATGCACTGCCGCAAATAGTTAAAATGAGGTTGAAGATGTGGGGTAGGTTGCCTTCCCTCCCTCGTCGGACACTAGATGTTTTCATGCATTTACTCGAAACATCATTAAACCCCCCCCCCCCTCCCTCTTCTAAATAAAAATAAAGCTTACCTCCATTATCAATTCTATTTAAAACTCTTGGCTCCGAGCTCGGAAACTGCATATTTACAACAATATATCTGCAATATAATAACTAAGTCTCTAAAACTACGAATAGAATTAATGTTTTCAAGTTCCTTATCTATAGTATAGTGTCTATGAGACACCACATCGAGCTAGTTTATGACTCATTTATGATTATGTCATACACGTATATCAGACTTACGAAAACTTTTCATAAAGAGATTCTGTACGGACGCGTCACGCGGCGGCAGTTGGTTTGGTTTGGTTAACTCAGAAAAACGGCTGTAACAAATACAAATTCAATTCTCAAAAGAGAACTTTTCTGCGTTTCAAATGCACAGGTTTGATTTCATTTCACAAATATGATATTAGTTAGCAAAATCATGCATTTCTGCGCTGCGCAAACACACATGAAAATCACACTTGATAAAAAATTCAGGACGCATGTTTTTTCGTGCGCCTGAGCGTTTCCATTCCAATAATGTCAACTTTCTTAAAAACTTTAATTCCATTTATCAAATATGATTATTGAGCAAAATCATGCATTTCTGCACTGCGCAAAAATGCATGAAAAACACACTTGATAAAAAAATTCAGGACTGCATGTTTTTTTTCGTGCGCCTGTGCGCGTTTCCATTCAAATCTTTCAAGTTTCTTAAAAACTTTGATTTTATTTCAGAAATATGATATTATTTAGCAAATCATGCATTTCTGCACAGCGCAAAGACACATGGAAATCACACTATGATAAAAAATTCAGGACTGCATGTTTTTTTTTGTGCGCCTGTGCGTTTCCATTCCAATTTTTCAACTTTTTGAAAAACTTTAATTCCATTTATCAAATATGATATTATGGATAACAAAAAAATTCAGGACTGCATAATTTTTTTCGTGCACCTGTGCGTTTCCATTCCAATCTTTCAAGTTTCTTAAAAACTATGATTTCATTTATCAAATTTGATATTATTTAGCAAAATCATGCATTTCTGCACTGCGCAAACACGCATGGAAATCACACAATTGACAAAAAATTCAGGTCTGCATGTTTTTTTCATGCGCCTGTGCGTTTCCATTTCAATCTTTCAACTTTCTTAAAAACTTGGATTTCATTTCACAAATATGATAGTATTTTGCAAAATTATGCGTTTCTGCGCTGCGCAAACAGGCATGAAATTCACACTTGATAAAAAATTCAGGACTGCATGTTTTTTTTCCGTGCGCCTGTGCGTTTTTATTCGAATATTTTTTAACTGCAAAGATTCAGTTCTCTCAAATTTTCTTTTTATTTGTTAAAACAATGCGCCTGTGCACCGCCCATAAACGCATAAAAATGACAGATGATAAAAAAATCAGGACCACATCTTTCTTCTGTGCGCCTATGCGTTTTCATGTTCAAAGATTCATCTCTCTCAAAAAGTTTTATTTTGTTTGGTTTTTATCTGAGAAGAAATTTAAAAATATTGTAAAATTTAATTAAAATAAATTTTTAAGTTAAAAAAAGTTTGCTTTTTATTTTTTAAAACCGTGCGCCTCTGCGGCGCTGCATAATTGCATGAAAATGACACATGATAAAAAAATCAGTATTACAAAAAGGGCGTGTCCGTAAAATGAATATTAAAGGCGTGGTGGCTAAATAATTTGGTAAAAGAATCTGTTTTTTACAGAATATGGTTTTTTTCTCTGATCCACAAATACAAATTCAATTCTCAAAAGAGAACGCAATTCTGCGTCTCAAATGCACAGGATTGATTTCATTATACAAATATGATATTATTTAGCAAAATCATGCGTTTCTGTGCTGTGCAAACACGCTTGAAAATCACACTTGATAAAAAATTCAGGACTGCATGTTTAAAAAAAATATTCCAATGAAAACACACAGGGGCACGGAAAAAGCATGCAGTTCTGAATTTTTTATCAAGTGTGTTTTGCATGGGCGTTTGTACAGTGCAGAAACGCATGATTTTGCTAAATAATATTGAAAACCTTTGAAATTCAAGATTGGCTGTATGCACAATGTGTATATTCAAATTTAGTTCTGGAAGGGGTACCCTACTAACCCAAAAACTTAAAAATATGTATGACATATGTATATATACATATTTTTAGGTTTAGGAATACGTAAAAATACGCATTTTCCATACATATGACATGTATTTTCAAAACCATTTCTTTGGTGAAAATACGTATTTGACAAATGCTTATTTAAAAAACCTAAAAATCCAATGAATCAGGAATTTTTAGGTTTTTTTCTATACGTGAAAATAGGTATTTAATAACTGTAAAAATACGTATATGAATAACGTAAAAATGCGTATGTAAAATATCTAAAAAATCAAATGAATCAGGAATTTATAGGTTTTACCTGTATGTAAAAATACGTATTGAATATCTGTAAAACTATGTATTTGACATACATAAAAATATGTATGTAAACAAACCTAAAAAATCCAATAAATCAGGATTTTTTAGGTTTTTCCTATACATAGATTTAGGTTTGAAAAAATCCTAACATTTCTTAATTTTTGGAATTTTTAGGTTTTACCTTTTAAAAATACGTATTGTTCAAGCTCTAAAATACGTATTGTTCAAGCTCTAAAATACGTATTGTTCAAGCTCTAAAATACGTATTGTTCAAGCTCTAAAATACGTATTGTTCAAGCTCTAAAATACGTATTGTTCAAGCTCTAAAATACGTATTGTTCAAGCTCTAAAATACGTATTGTTCAAGCTCTAAAATAAAATGTTAAGAAGTGGACTATATAATTTTGCATTCGCATTGTTCAAAGGCGTAGTCAGGGGGGGATGAGAGCTAAGCCCCCCCCCTGGACCAGTGAACTCTATTGAAATCAGGGGTTTTCAGACCCCAACAGGTGCTGAGCTCCACCCGGAACAAATTCCTGAATACACTCCTTCCTTCATTTCTATACAACTAATTCCACAAATTGCTTAAATCCATATTCATTGATATTAATTATTTTCAATCCAATCCAATATACTGTCTACAGAAATTCACATCATCATCTGTATCCATCTAAATCAACATTCATATATGCATTTTGTCTGTATTTTCAACAATTTTACATATTCAATATGTGTCATAATTTATACAATTGCCATTTTACCTGTTACAAGTCTGTCAAAGTAAAACTTCTATTTATCAAAAAATTGAGAATTTACTGACATTGATTCTAATGAAAACATCAATTTACTCAAAAATGATAGCAATTTTGAAACATTGCGTTTTTCAAAATGTTTGCATTAAATTTCTTGCAGAACAATTCTCTTAAAAAGAGTACAAAATATTTTCATATTCTAACTTAAGAATGCATTTTTGTGCAGTTGAGGTTTCGTGAATATATTGACACAAATTCACGAAAATATACGTATTTTTAGGTTTGCATCAAACTTTCAAACTAAAAAAAAATACAACTTTTTAAGTAAAGAGAAACCCTAAACATAAGTAAAAATACGTAAAATAAAAACCTAAAAACGTTGAAACATTTCTTGGTATGAAATTTACAAAAATATACGTATTTTTAGGTTTGCATCAAACTTTCAAACTCTAAAAAAAATACTATTTTTTTAAGTAAAAAAAACTCTAAAAAATACGTGGAATAAAAACCTTAAAAACTTTGAAAAATTTCTTGGTATGAAATTTACGAAAATATAAGTATTTTTAGGTTTGCATCAAACTTTTAAACTCTAAAAATTACTATTTTTTAAGTAAAAAAAAAACCTAAAAAATACGTAAAATAGAAACCTAAAAACTTTGAAAAATTTCTTGGTATGAAATTTACGAAAATATACGTATTTTTAGGTTTGCATCAAACTTTCAAACTCTAAAAAAATTACAACTTTTGTAAATATACGTAAGTTCTTTACCCAAAAGTTGAGCATACGTATTTACAGTTAAAAATACCTATTAATATCTATACCTATAAGAGACTTTGGTATTTTAAGGTTTTCAGGTTAGTAGGGTAGTGAGGTTTTTTAGGTAGTTGGAACTATTGTTGCACTTTCTGTGCCTTTTACAAAAGAAAAATGTACGTTTTTATTTTGAAAAATTTACTACTGATATAATAATCGATCATACATATTCGTGTTTTTAATACATTTTTTAATATTTAAAGAATACTGGTGGCAGTGGGATAGATAAGTTTATATATGATTTTATTCTAAATACACAACTAGCACTTGATCTTTAAAAAAACTGATACATTTTTCTTAGCTTTCAATTTTCCATAAAAGTTTACTTAGGAAAGAAACAGTCTGTACTGTTGTTAAAACATGTGATAATTCTACACCGAGCCCGATCTTTCTTGTTTTCAATGGATCTGCACATGTGCTCGTAACTTTTCCAGTTCGCGGCATTCACCAATACAACATCTTTGTTTGTTCGATTTTTTTCAAAGATTTTGCTGACGCCATTTTCATTGTTTGATGTTCCGTAATCATTGTTAATATTAACAACTCCAAATTCATTATTTTTATATGCAATCCCAAAATCATTGCTGAAGGGTAAATATTCATTATTAGGATTGCTAATTTCAAAATTATTCAAATTTGACGCTTCAATAATATTTCTGCCAGTTGATACTACATACTCAAAACCTTCATTATTATCATCTTCCCCAAGAATATCGTTTTTTAACTCTTGAATATCGTTATTAGGAGGAACTTCAAGATTTGAATACGATGTAGGATCTGCACTGGTTGAAACATGCTCAAAAAATGGTTCTGTACTTGCTAAACTAAGTTCAAGAACTAAATCTGTGCTTGCTGAGCTATGTTCAAGAACTGAATCTGTGCTTGCTGAAATAGGTTTAAGAACTGAATTTGTATTTTCAACACTAGGTTTAACTGAAGCTGAATTGTCAATGAGTGTTGAAATGATTGTCAAATCTTCGTTGGAGAATGTAGTTTCTAATCCCAAAGCAGAAGAACTTTCCTCTGAAGAAAAAGACAGGGATCCACTAAACACATTTTAATTATCTAAATTTTAAACTTCTATAAAGAATTTAAACTTCAATTAAATATCCCACTTTGAAAAGAGATTTCTCAATAATAATTAATTCGAAACTCGTGATTAAAATTAAATACTACTCCTCATTTTTAAATTCTGGCTTACAAAGCGACCAAAATTTAAGAGCAAAAAAAACTGAGCCAAATGTTTATTAACATAGTATTGCCAATATTCTTTAGAAATAACAGTTGACAGATATTTAAAACTGCAACAAACATGGTAGTTGGTAATATTACCGTGCATTTATTTATTTTATTGGCCTGAAACAAGTTTATTAGATCCGAAATAAAAATATTTAGATAAAAAAGTATTTTGAAATTAATTATACATTTTTACAATTAGGTGGAGGACTGAAAGGCCTGAGACCGTTAGTTATGAATTTAGCCCTGGTACAGACAAAAATTTACACATGATAATAAAGCATTAAACGATGTTTTCAACAAAAGTTGTCAAATTGTAACCTTAGAACTGTTATCACTTCAAAAATGGAAATAATTGGGTTACATATTTTGTTATACTTATATCTCATTCAATTTTTAATGAAATTATATTTTGGGTTTTGGGGGTTTTTTTATGTTCAAAAAATATTTTTAAATTTATTTTATCACAATATATATATATAAAATAAAAATTTAGAAAATGTTGCCTAAAACATTAATAATTCCTGTTTTTTTTACTCACCCTGAGGCCAAATTCAAAGAATTTGAGCCACGGCTTAAATTTAAGCCATGGCTCAAATATGGTTGGTTCCACTTAAAATCGTATTTATTATTTCAAGATTTAAGCCGGCGCTCAATTGAAACCGTTTTTTGGCGGATTTTTCAAATTCATTAAATTCAGACACTGTATATATATATATATATATTAATATGCACATATAAATATATATATATATGAACGGAAAGCTATATTGTATAGGTTTATAAATAATTCCAACCTGCTCGAGCTAGGAATATCATCGTTGTCAGCTACACCTTACAAAATTAGAATCAGTAAAAGTTGAAAATTAAAGTTTAAAAAATGTAATTGTATACCTGTATCGTAAAGAAGCTGATCTAAAAAATTAATTCCTGAATTGGCATCTCCGTAGTCCAAAAGATCTTCTTCCGTTTCTGAGATTGGCAAAGCATTTACAACTAATTGTTGTACATTGGCCACTGCTGAAGGTGTTTCAGAAGATAGGTCTGTGAATGATGTTACAGTTATTGAATCTGATAATAATATTTGTGTAGACGATGATGAGTTTCCGGCTGAATCTACGTTTGATATTTCAGTAGACGAATGTGATAATGCTGTTCCAGAAGCTAAAGTTGTTGATTTAATTGATTGTGTTGTAGAAGCAGCAGCTGTCACTGGTTGTGGAGTAGGTATTGACTGTGTTGTAGAAGCAACAGCTGTCACTGGTTGTGGAGTAGGTCTTGATTGTGTTGTAGAAGCAGCAGCTGTCACTGGTTGTGGAGTAGGTATTGATTGTGTTGTAGAAGCAACAGCTGTCACTGGTTGTGGAGTAGGTATTGATTGTGTTGTAGAAGCAGAAGCTGTCACTGGTTGTGGAGTAGGTCTTGATTGTGTTGTAGAAGCAGCAGCTGTCACTGGTTGTGGAGTAGGTCGATTAAAAAATCTTTAAAATAGAATATTATTTAGAATATTTTAGATAGGCTCACTGCTCAGGTAGATAATTAAATAAAAAAATGGGAATTTAGTGACGAATTCGATATCGTTTTTGTTATGAATTAGCATTGTAATAATACATGATTTCGAAAGCCATAATATTATTATGACTGATAGGGTTTATTTTATGAAAAGGGTAAAAGACTTAAAGATGTGTCTATAATGTCTCCGCAAGATGAACAGTGAACACGGACAAGTTTACTCTGTTTGTATGCAGCAATTTTCTTGTTTTACTAAGTACATACAATAAACAAACAAAATGTGAACAAAGCACACAAAACTGTCACAGATTAGAGCTTTCTGAGAGGGTATCACTATACTAAATCAAAGAATTATTTAAAAAGACGATATCGAATTCGTCACTGAATTCCCATGTTTATTCGGACACCCTGTACATATAGCGGACGCATACAATAATAAATATTTAAGGGAAACAACATTTAAGTGTTTTACATGTTGTCAAATTTTACCAGTAGCCTGATAAGCAATAAGTTTATTAAGATATTTTGGTCTATAACAATGCACAATTACTGTGATTCATGTTTAATATGACATTTATAACTTGCGTATAATTGTAGTGCGTGTGCCACACAGTTTTATAGGTCCAACTGTATGAAAATAACAAAATATGGATGTAAAAAGATAGATGGATACTTTTCATAAATTATTAACCTTGGATTTAGGTTGTATTCTGTGATATAAGGGCCAGCAAGAGTAGTTTCAGAAACTTCAATCTGTCCGAGAGGTTTATCTCCTTATAAAGATATTATTACAGTATCCGAATTTAATGAATTTAAGCCACCTCTCAAATCCACCAAAAACAGGTTTTAATTGAGCGCCAGCTTAAATCTTGAAACATAGAATACGATTTTTAGTGGAACCAACGATATTTGAGCCGCGGCTCAAATTCTTTAAATTCGGCCTCAGGGTTACCCATAAAGAATGAAACTTTAATGATGAACTAAAGCTTTTTAATTTTATAATTTGAAAGTTCTTCTTGTTCTGTCGATGAAAGAAATAAAAATAACCAAAGTTAGTTTAATCTTCTATAAAGTCTCATCTTTTTTGGTAACCCTGTACAATTATAACCAATCAGAGCTGGGAACTTTAGAATAGTGGATATCGAGATCAATACTCTGATCTTCACTTTCTCTTAATCTCAAGACTAACTTAATATTGTACTTATATCCCTGAAAAGTGTATAAAATTCAACCAATCAGAGTCGCGTATCAGAAGCCGGGAAGTTTGAAATTTTGCGCGCCATTTCAGATTAATATACAGAAGCGGGATGGACTCTCTTATTTTCAAAAAAAATTAAAAGTGTTCACATTGGATATTTGGATTAAGCAGACGGGATTAAAGGTATCCCATTCTAAAGTTCCCAGCCCAGGGTAGACAGAGATTTATCTTGATGACCAATTTAAGATTTGCAGCGTATTGGAGTAATAAAGCTTTCTATCCTAAGTTAATTTTATTAAATATTAATCATTAAGTTTTGAAAATATCTTATTTAGAGATCCATTACCCAAATTATCTTAAAAATCGGAACTTGTCAATTTACGAGACGATGACAGAGTGGAATGTTAGATTCACAAGGATACCTTTCAGACCTTTGTCCGATGATAAACGACTGAATTATTTATATTTTTCTGTCTGAAAACTGAGTTTTGAGAACCTCAAGGGAAGGTGTACGCTGTAAAGTCTTGCAAATGATGGCTCATGGTTTTTAAAGACACTTTTTTCAGCAAGACAAATATGAATATCTCCGTAAATTATTTTTTGACAATTGATGTAAACTTAAACTGGCATAGTTGTGTATCGCACATGGCACTTTTCAAATTTAAACATCTGCCGTCCTTTTCAAAATTTTATTTGTAATATTTTATATATTCTAAAATCTTACCTAAATTCTGTTGTTGCAAGAACTGGTTTGCAAAGTAAACATCTGCTCCTCCGATATTTTTATTATCAATTGGACGCACATCTCTTCCTGACATTTATTTATTTAGAAACCAATATTGAACATAGTCAATTTTAAACTATAGACAATTGTAAGGATAGATCATTCATTCTTAGTTGTACACAGGTTAAAGGTTATGTATCTATTTAGAAAATTGAGAAGACAGCTTCCCTCAAATAATATCTATGCTTTAAAGGGAGTGTTCGTGAAAAATGAAAGGGGGTATGGCTTACAAATTCAGAAAGTTGCGACATTCAACTCGGATCGATTTAACTAATCATTTAATCATTTTATTTCCAAACAATTCATTTAGATATTACAACCAATAATCATCGATAATTTTTCGACGCATTCATATGTACTTGATATTTCATAATATTTTTTTTTTTTTTTTGATCTGATAGTTACTTTTGAAAACATTTATTCGTGTTTTGAGAATTTTTGATAATAAGGACGACATTTTCATATTTTCCAGGAATGTTCGAAAATCCAGCGCCAGTGAAATATTATTTAAAAAAAAATCTAAAATATTATGAAATGTTAACTATATACGAATGCATCGAAAATTAATCGATGCCTACAGTTTTTAACATCTGAATGATTTGTTTGGAATTAAATTGATTATTTAATTTTAATTTGTATGGACGCTACGTTCTTCGGTGTGAGTCGTTTTTAACAATTTTCTCCTTATAGACGCAACAGATAGACGTAAGATTAGTCGCAATCAAAGGCGCTTATTTTCGCCGTAAGCCTATACCCCCTTTCATTTTCCGCATATATCAATACTAGGAAGACTACTTTTGGTTTCAATTTTTATTTCCAACAAGCTTTTAAACAGCATGGATACACATAAACACGAAGTATCAATCAATCAATGCTAATAAATACCAGCTTCTTTTTGTTCACTTGTAAACCTGTAATTTGAAAAAAATTAGAATTAGAATAAAAAAGTAGCCTTCATCATATTGATATAAAAACGTCTACATAATGGTTAAGCAAAAATAGTGACCTTTTGGCTTCTCTTCTTTCAAATCATCGTCAGGGGTCCTATCAGAGCCTATATGAAATGTATTAAGGGTTAGAGATGGGCATGGTTTTGGTGAACGAACATTTTTTTTTGTACTGGTTGGTTACAGTACTTGTACCAACTGGGTACAGTGCTTACCAGTGTAGAGTACGGGTTGATTGCAGTACTTGTACCAACTGGGTACAGTACTTACCAGTGTAGAGTACGGGTTGATTGCAGTACTTGTACCAACTGGGTACAGTGCTTACCAGTGCACGTGAATTTAACGGTTCTGTCAATATTCCAGAAAGCTGTGACTTTCGATCACAATTTGACCTATTAAACATAATTGTTCAGCCTTTTTTACAAAATACTTTTTTGCCGGCATATACGTTTTGAATAAATAGTATTAAACAAACAAATCCGTAAGTTTAAATATTGTTAAAATATAAACCAAAACGCATATGATTTAAAATAGAAGAAACCGAATGCCTCTAACTCTGGTTAGTCCGGGGTGAGTGTAGAGTAAGGGTTGATTGCAGTACTTACACCAACTGGGTACAGTACTAACCAGTGTAGAGTACGGGTTGATTACAGTAATTGTACCAACTGTACAGTACTTACCAGTGTAGAGTACGGGTTGATTACAGTACTTGTACCAACTGTACAGTACTTACCAGTGTAGAGTACGGGTTGATTACAGTACTTATACCAACTGGGTACAGTGGATGGAATCTGATTGCAAACAGTTTGAGTTTCGTCAAGGCATACCTTTTCCTACGTGCAAACAATATACAATAATTTAAAATTATGTTAAAATACAATTGATAACTAACAAGCATAACGGTTTTTTTTCCTAAATTTTTTCTGTTTCCCTGTTTATATATATACTTGTTAAAACAAATTCGAAATATAAGGAAGACGATTGTTCCGACTCAAATGCCGATGTTAATTCCCTGGATGTGTGTGTACACTGAATACACAGAATCCTTTTCCGCCATACAACACACCCCACATGTCAAATCTCCGCTCAACCTAGCTCCCGCTTCACCAGTCAGTCAGCGGAAAACACTCACAAGATTCACAACTCCGTCTCAACCCTGGCTCCTTTGTGATGATGATTCAGATACGGAACCAACAACAGAAGACACTGCTTACACCTAGCTCCGCGCTCCACAAAGTTCCAGAGATCCGGGCGGAACCAGACTTCCTTCCATTATCCTGTATACAGGATAAGTCCGCAATCTCTCCCTCCCACAGGAGAAGGTAACAATAGTTCGCTCCGCAGGAGAAGGTAACAATAGTTCGCTCCGCAGGAGAAGGTAACAATAGTTCGCTCCGCAATGTTCCAGAGATCCGGGCGGAACCAGACTTCCTTCCATTATCCTGTATACAGGATAAGTCCGCAATCTCTCCCTCCCACAGGAGAAGGTAACAATAGTTCGCTCCGCAGGAGAAGGTAACAATAGTTCGCTCCGCAGGAGAAGGTAACAATAGTTCGCTCCGCAATGTTCCAGAGATCCGGGCGGAACCAGACTTCCTTCCATTATCCTGTATACAGGATAAGTCCGCAATCTCTCTCCCTTAGACTAAGCCTAGTTGTGAGAAAGCCTGCCGTCAAGATTGATGATCTGCATCACCATCATGAAGTTCTACAAACACCTTCTAACTGACATTCGTCTATAGTTTCTTTATTAATTTCTAAACCAATCAATTTAAGCCCCACTTGGGAAAATATTTCATAACCTTTTGTTTTTATAAATAAAGATTAGAAATACCGTTAGATCTCTTTTATTTTATCATATTGACTTTTAAAGTCAACAATACTTTTTTACATTTTGTCCAAATTAAATATGCAATTAAAAGAATTATCATAGACAAGGCTTTCAGATCGTTACTTGTAATTAATTCTTGCATTTTTTTTGCCTTAAAGCATTGTTTGGAATACTTTTTATCCGATTTTAGATATTTTTTATGGTTCAGGAAATCTTATAAGTTTTGTATTTAACAAAACTGTATGACGACATGTCTATAAAGTTTGATTTAATTAAATCATGCAAAATTTTGTCTTTGAAAGATGATAAGGAAATAAATAATTTCTAAAAAGTTGTTTTGCTCTAGCCGTTGACTTTGATTTTTACGAAATAGATTTTTGAAACAATTTGTAATGCAAAGAGTAGGGTAGAGAACGGTTGAAAGGTTGATCCTTGTATATTTGTTTAAATTATAGCCCAGGACTTTTTTGTGTTTCAAGCTACAGATTCAAAATTAACATTTTTTGGAAGCCCTTGAAAATGAATACTAATATATGTGTCACATTTTATCCTTTGACACAAGCAATAATTTTCTTTTAAAATATTTCCAAAATTTTTCGGCCAATTAAAAAATCATTCTTGCCCACCGAACTTTTAAAGTAAGAGATCAAATTTGATTTGTAAATGAGCTAGTCTTGGAAATTAACTTGAAAAATGTATTAAAACTGTAAGGTCGTTTTAAAGTGGGGGGACGCCACTCCAGTCTTTACATAGATTTAGCCCCCCTCCCTCCTATATAGGGTTAAAGCACCTGAACAACAACTGTTCTAAGTTTATTCCTGCCATCTTCACACTGTTCACACAGTTCATCCTTCAACTCCAACTGAACAAAAAACACAAACAAAATGTTGAACTGCAAATTTTCTCCTTGAGGATCTAAGGATCTAAGAAAAGGTAAATGGACAATGGATTACTTTAAGTTCCTTGAAAAGTAAAATAATTTGTACATGCGCCGATTTGTCAGTTTGAAATATGGTGTTAAAATGTTATTAAAACATTTACTGCCCGGAAATTGGATATTCCTATTTTTTCATGTAAATTTGCGAATATTTAAAAATTAAAAAGCAATTGGTACTAATATTTGGCAGGTTGCCTCAAAGATAGTCCAGAAGCAGAAGATAATGTATTAGGAATTTATCCGAATTGTGTGTACGCTCCGTACACTTGCATGACGTCATTACAAAAACGTTTAATTTCTCAAAAATATAAAAAATGTTCTCCCGGAAAATACGCCTTGTTGCTATACGTAGCTGTTTCTATACGTTGGATTTCTATAAGGTTTGACTTCATAGTTTATATTTTTAACGAGAACATATTATTATTATTGAGGTTCTGATGAAATAAATCAATCGATAGATCGGAAGTTAAATCGACTGTTTCTGTCGATTAGATAATAGGTCATTATCTAATATAAATAACTAGCTAAAGGGCCCGGCGTTGCCCGTGGAATAATTTTTTTTTTTTAAATAATAAAAAATGTTAAAAAAAAAATTCGGCCACCCAGTCCAGCCGTTTGGCCGGCTATAGGTAAAATATGTATGAATGTCGTGTTGCATTATATAGATGGATATTTCAAAAAAAATCGATGATCATGATAAGAAAGAAGAAAGGTTTGGCCGCCATGAGCCCCACAGAAAAACTGCGAACCGCAAAATTATATTATAGTCTACTCTTACCTTATCTGGGAGATCAGCAGATACACATTCAGGTTCAACATCAAGTAGGTTACACCCTGTAGGTATACAGATGGGGGGACCAGACCTAGACAGAGCAGGTTTATATTTACAGTAGGTTACACCCTGTATAGGTATACAGATAGGGGGACCAGACCTAGATAGGGCAGGTTTATATATAAGTATTTCTAATTAAACTCAGGGTTGTTTTAGGGTTATATTAAATATTCAAGTTTTAAAAAGGTTAAATATATAGGATTAACTTTTATTTTGGAAATTACATTTTTAACTTTAATTATTTATTTTATTTAAGGGATGTGGGCATTGTGGAAATTATATAATAATGGAATGAATCATATGGAAAGGTTATAATGCAAGGAAAGTTATTTCAGAGGTGTACGCATGTTTTGTACTGCAATGTACTGTCTCTGGGCGGTAATGTAAACACTAGACGGATGTCAAAGCCTGACATGGAATCCATCTTTCACATAAAAATCAATTTAATCTTTTGTAACATTTTTTCGGCTTTTCCTCGTACTTTTTTTTGTACTTTTTTAAAACCTTTGTTCACAAATTCGATGTTGTTTTCATTTCTACTTTTGATAACATTTTGGCTTCTGAATATACATCAACATTGTTTACATTTGCGAAAAATCCATTGTTTACATTTTCTGGCATGATTACACTTTTGATTTTTATCAAAATTTTACGTGTATTTCTTTTACCTTTGTGAGTACTATTCTCTATGTTTAGATCACAATTTACATGTTTTAAGTTATCTTTTACACTTTTACCTTTGCTTGCATTCTACTTTTGTACTTTCACCTTTGTTTGCATTCTATTTTTACACTTTTACCTTTGTTTGTGCTCAATTTTTACACTTTTATCTTTGTTTGCATTCTATTTTTACACATTTACCTTTGTTTGCATTCTATTTTTACACTTTTACCTTTGTTTTCATTCTATTTTTACACTTTTACCTTTGTTTGTTCTACTTTTGCACTTTCACCTTTGTTTGCATTCTATTTTTACACTGTTTCCTTTGTTTGCATTCTATTTTTATACTTTTACCTTTGTTTGCATTCTATTTTTACACTTTTACCTTTGTTTGTGCTCAATTTTTACACTTTTATCTTTGTTTGCATTCTATTTTTACACATTTACCTTTGTTTGCATTCTATTTTTACACTTTTACCTTTGTTTGCATTCTATTTTTACACTTTTACCTTTGTTTGCATTCTAGTTTTACACTTTTACCTTTGTTTGCATTTTATTTTTACACTTTTACCTTTGTTTGCATTCTATTTTTACACTTTTACCTTTGTTTGCATTCTATTTTTACACTTTTACCTTTGTTTACATTCTATTTTTGCAATTTTACCTTTGTTTGCATTCTATTTTTGCAATTTTACCTCTGTTTGCGTTCTATTTTTACACTTTTACCTTTGTTTGCATTCTATTTTTACACTTTTACCTTTGTTTGCATTCTATTTTTGCACTTTTCCCTTTGCTTGCATTCTATTTTTGCACTTTTACCTTTGTTTGCATTCTATTTTTACACTTTTACCTTTGTTTGCATTCTATTTTTACACTTTTACCTTTGTTTGCATTCTAGTTTTACATTTTTACCTTTGTTTGCATTTTATTTTTACACTTTTACCTTGGTTTGCATTCTATTTTCACACTTTTACCTTTGTTTGCATTCTATTTTTGCAATTTTACCTTTGTTTGCATTCTATTTTTACACTTTTACCTTTGTTCGCATTCGATTTTTGCAATTTTACCTTTGTTTGCATTCTATTTTTATACTTTTACCTTTGTTTGCATTCTATTTTTGGCCTGATTTCCTCATGCCCAACCAGTCGTACACTGTCCCTGAAAAACTTGTTCTTACATTCTAAGTTTTGTTTATAAAAAGTGCTTTCACACATCTTCAAAAATAGCCGGAAATCTGAATTTGATGTCAAAAAAATTAAGTGTTTATCTTTTTTAAAAGCAAAAACATTTAAACTTGTCTTATGAATGAAACAATATTAACTCCAGGCCAGGAGCAATGCATGCAGTGTGATTAGGTCGGGAGTATAGTATAATGCAAATCAATCAACAATTAAAAGCTATATCTGCTGGGGTACTTGTCAACCAGGATACTCTAAATCCCATATTTGATGTCCAAATTTGACAAATTATACATTATTAGAAAGCTCTTACTCTTTACTTTTAGAATCTGCGAATAAATTTTTAAATTTGCAAAATTGATATTTATTTTGCCCCTGACCATGTCATTTCTAATATGCTAAAATTTCGCAAAATTTTTAAATAACCTGATGTGTAATTAGGGAAAGTAAAAAACTATCAAATTCTGACAGATTTAGTTTGTTAAAGGAAAAAATTAGTCATACAGGAAGCGTTCATTATGCTTGAGGAATTAGGCAGTTCGTATAAAAGCATGGTTTTAGGTCTAAAGGGTAAAAAGGAAAAGTTAGAAAATTTCAACAACCTCAGACTGCAATACTTTTTAAGTTATGTAAAACAAAACTACAGGAGGGGGGTCGAATTGACCCCCCCCCCCTTTAGCAGTAATAGGGTTAAAAAAGTTTGTATAATCTACTTTATTGAATTAAAATAAATTTTAACAATTTTTTTTTTTTCAAGGAACAAATTAATGCAATATTTATATATACATACTAGAAATTCAGGGCGCTTCGCGCCCTTCTTTCTAGGCTTTTAGGGCGCTTCGTGCCCATCTTCTATTTAAATTGTGAACATGTTCTTTTTGTTTACATTTAAAACAAAGAAGAAAAATATTTTGCGGATTTTTAAAAAAAAATTCGCGGATTTTCAAGAATTTAAAATTTTTACAAAATTAAAAACCTTTAAAACACATTTTATTTTAATTTTATCATTCATAAACCTTCCCTGTGGTCACGTAATGTTTCACAAAAAATTTGGGTCTGATCGGTTCAGCCGTTTTGACGTTTATTGGATACAAACAGACAAGCCAAATTTATATATAGATAGATCTATATAATTTGTTCATTTCTTATATGATATGTCGTCTTTCTTGGAGGTTCCCAGACCTTTTTACTACAGTTAAACCCCCAAATAAGCCATACATCGTAAGAATTTAACAAATGTCGTCTTGACAGTTTTTTAATGGGTTTTATACTGTTTTACGTAAATCTAACTATTTGCGAAAATAAATTAATAGCCATGAATATGCGGCAACAGTTTTAAAGAGCTCCATAAAACCATTTAATTAAAGAAACTAAATATCTGTAACATTCCATTATCAGAAAGTGAAGAATACAACATTTGATGAATTCTTTCGATGTAGGGCTTAACTGTGGTATCAGTATGTATGATATGAAAATAATAGGTTTAGTGTTTAAAAAAAATGCAACTAATATTTTTGCATGAGAAACATCTTATTCAATAATAATTACGCAGTATTACTGTGTTATAAACTCCATTTTCACAACTGCAATAAACGTTTTTTAAAAAAGCCAATCATAACATCTTGCCAAGCCCTAACTTGTTAGAGAACATTTTTATTTTTCTGTGTAAAAAAATAATTCTGAACCTGTCACATTCCTTCACTTCTTGGTTCTCTCTACACACCCAGCTAGCATCAGGGTAGGTGAAACATATCTGATATTATTTGAGAATAAAATTAAACTTCAAGATGTTAAATTGATTTACATTTTTTCACGCACTTTTGAATTTTTAAACCCACTTAAGATAACAGTTCATTTTTTATGAGCTGGACTTGTAAAATCGGATAAGGGATATGTTTACCCAAGGTAATAAGGAAAGGAAAGTTATTTGCTGTTGTGTATTCTCTGCGTACATATTTAAACCAGTTCTCTCTGGGCGTTGCTTGTAAACAAGAATAGATGCATCAGTGTTTCTGTAGTATCCGAGGAGGTTCAAAGCATTTAAATTTTCAAAATTTTCATAATTCACATAATAGTTTCCTATGACTTAAATATTTCATTCATTTTTATGTGAAAGATGGATCCCATGTCAGGCTGTGACATCCGTCTTGTGTTTACTTTACCGCCCAGAGTGCAAAACTTAAGAAAATTATAAAACTCGCTACGAGACCCGGTTTCCTGAAACCCGGTTTTGGCAGAGTTCGGGTTTCATGTTCTTAAAACGTATTTTGAAACTCTAGGAACCTGGGTTAAAATATGCTGTCGTTGGAGTCTCCAGCTGTGGTGTTTTATGAATAAAGCTGCTACGCACTTGAAAGTGATCAAATTGGTATCCGTTTTTTGGCGTAATAGTCGGCCCATCCAAGGAAAGATTTAAATTTACACTCTTATAATGTCCATAAAGGTGGAGCTACTGATTTGTTTTAAATATCTGTAGTTGTGTGATGTCATCAGATACATTTGTGAATTTGCTGAGACTTTCTTTTAGTTTAAAGATCGAATAGTAATTTACAGGATTTTTTGTTAAAAAAGTATTTTTTATTTATAGGGTAGGGTACAGGGCAGAAAAAAAGTCCGGTCTGTGAAAAAAAATCTAAAATAGCCCATTACTTTTTTTGTGACTAAAGCACAGATCTAAAACTATATTTTTTAAAAGCCCTTAAAAAATGCATGTAAAAGCATGTGTCACACTTTTTGATATTTGTTTAAACCAAAACAAATATTTTTTTTTATTTTTTTTACCTTTTTATAGGTATTCTTTTAACCCAAACTATTAAAGTTATCGGAATATTTTTATTCCTTGAGCTGGCCTTGAAAAATTGGGCTATGAACATGCATTTCAATCTTATACCTATTCTCTAAGACCTATTTTAAAGGGAGGGTGCCAAACGCCCCCCCCCCCCCAGGCGATAGATAGATTCAGACCCCGCAGCCTTTTTAGGGTTAAATACAGTCGTTGTATGGCTTATTTAATGATTTATCAAAGAAAGATAAAAGTTTAACCTATAAATATACGTAAACAGACAGTATAAATTCCATACAGTCGTCTCCAAAGTCTCATTCTTTATGGGTAACCCTGTATATTCAATAAAGATGGCTTTATTCCAATTTTGATTTCTATACGTTTTTTCAAATAAACATATTTCAAACAGCAGAGACAAATAAACATTTTTTCAAATAGCAGAGACAAATAAACATTTTTCAAACAGCAGAGACAAATGAACATTTTTCAAACAGCAGAGACAAATAAATATTTTTCAAACAGCAGAGACAAATAAACATTTTTCATACAGCAGTGACAAATAAACATTTTTCAAACAGCAGACACAAATAAACATTTTTCAAACAGCAGAGACAAATAAACATTTTTCAAACAGCAGAGACAAATAAACATTTTTCATACAGCAGAGACAAATAAACATTTTTCATACAGCAGAGACAAATAAACATTTTTCATACAGCAGAGACAAATAAACATTTTTCAAACAGCAGAGTCAAATAAACATTTTTCATACAGTAGAGACAAATAAACATTTTTCAAACAGCAGAGACAACTAAACATTTTTCAAACAGCAGAGAAAAATAAACATTTTTCAACCAACAGAGTCAAATAAACATTTTTCAAACAGCAAAGACAAATAAACATTTTTCAAACAGCAGAGACAAATAAACAGTTTCATACAGCAGAGAAAAATAAACATTTTTCAAACAGCAAAGACAAATAAACATTTTCAAACAGCAGAGACAAATAAACATATAATCAACGAGAAATTGTCAAATTAACAGCTTCTCTTTGTTTACTTGTAAACTTGTAATTTGAAAAAATGGTTGTTACTCAGCTACAATTTGGCTTTGTACAGTTGTACATAAAACGTATTACCTGTGGAACCGTACTGCACTCAACGATATTGTTTTCAAAACAATGCAAACTTGATCCTTTTGGGTCAGTGCACTCCTTAAAGAATATTTATAACATATCTTTAACAATCATTTTTTTCCGAAATAAAAATGTGAACCACTTTAATAAAATTGCCATTATAAAGAAACTAATAAAATAAATTTTCCTTAAATCATTTTAGTTGAAAAATATCATTATCCTTAAACTTTTTCAAAAAGGTAAAAAAAAATTTTTTTATTCTATTTTTTATCTTTAGTATCTATACCTGCTCTATAGATCTTGTGCATACAATGGTTTGTTTGGTCGTGTTCTAAACATTTATATTCATTTATTCTTAAAAAGTTCAAGAAACGTTGTGATATTATCCGCTTTAAAACTCATCTCATGATAATCTATCAATCAAATAAATTTCCTTTAGGGTTTAGAACTATAAAACTATCCGCTTTAAAACTCATCTTATGATAATCTATCAATCAAATAAATTTCCAAACAAAACATTATTTATTTTTGGTAATTCTTTTTGATAAAATATGTATTAAACACAAAACTATCTATTCATTATTTTCATGAAAATTTCAAATTAACGAAATCTCCATTATTTTCAACACATTCGATTTATTCTTTCTTAATTTTTTTAAAAGAACGATTTTATTTGTTTGTTAACGATTATTGTTAACGATTAGGAAAAAAAACGATTAAAAGTAGCCATTTACATCTAAACTGTCCAAGGAATGAATTTATTTTTGCATTTTTTCGGAAAAAATTTTTAAATTTTGATCAAACCTTTCGAGCACTGTTAAACATTTGTTAAACATTTGTCAAGAATCCAACCTTCTCCCCCTCTCATATGGTGGAAAATATTTATTTCAAACTACACTGATAACCAGAATACAGTGAGAACCAGAAAACAGTGGAACAGTAAGACTACATAATAGCAATACAAGTTTATTTGATGTTTTGATAAAGTGAAAAGTTTTACTAAACACTTATTAAATCACTAATTTAATGAAATGGGTCTGTTTACACTGCACACTTACTCTGACTCATGCTCATTGGATTGTTTAAAGTTATAACTTGATTCTAAATGTCGTCTTCTTATTTACACGGAAAAATTGCTGTGTCTCATGTTCGCTGACTTTTTAAAATCATATTTTAATTCTTAAAGTTATCTTCGATTCCATAGTTTTCTGGTTCTCACTATATACCTCTGTTCTATATGTTGTATAACAGTATTCAGCTTGAGCAGAGCAGTCCTCAGTAATATTCTGAAGTCTGATTTTCTCCACAGTTCTGCATAAAAAAGAATTACGAAATAAACTATTTTTTTTCATGAAATTTAAAATGATTTTTAGGAGGACTCTAAATTTTACAAAGATCTGTTGAGTAGAAACGCATGTTTACGGCCAAAATCAAAGTCGAATTTTTATTTGTAAAACTTGGATTTAAGACAATTTCTAAAAATGTGAAAAAAAACATTGAGCAATAAATAAAATATTTCCGGTTTGACTAATCAAGACAATTACTACAAAAATACATTCAAAATGGAGATCAATAATTGACCCAAGAATCACATCACAAAGGCTCTGACTTCTGACCTAGAACTTTTTTAAAAGACTAATTTTCTCTACTCGCTGACATTTTCTCTACTCGCTGACATTAACTCTACTCGCTGACATTAACTCTAATATCAAATTGGTCAAATCTCCAAAGTTTTGACGAATTGAAGCATTTTTCAGACAAGGAGCAAATAACCTTAACATATTCTTTGAAAATAATCATAATAAACAAAATAATTTTGTTTTCATGTTTTCAGATAAACATGAATCTTTAATTTTAATCTGTTAATTAGTTTCTTTGTTTAAGGTTTAAACTGCTTACTACTTTCGGGATTAAAAAACTTAAATTTATACAGAAAAAAAGTAACAACAAAAAAAACAACAAAAACATATTTTTCCGAATGATTACACATTTTTTTATGAAAATCCACGAAATATGAAAGGAGCCAGGTATAAAATGTTGCTTATTTGCCTCAGGACAAATATCAAACTTCTTATACCCGAAATCATAAAATTGCATGTAGAAATGTGTTGTATAATGTATTATACTTAATACACAGTAAATATTAATACCATATTCCATATATACTTGTTGCCCCTTTTTGCTCTGTTTGTAAACAGTGTACTGCACTGTTTACAATCCTACTAAACCTAACTCCGCGCAGTCAGTTAGATCCTATACCCGAACAATTTATCAGGTATAGATTTATTTTCGATTAATAGTGTTCTTTGGTGAAACTATCAAGATAAAAATGATTATTGAAATAGAAAGTATGAATTCTTATTCAAGGTATATATTGTAAATCTATTTTTCCATTACTTTAGAATTTGGTTGAAATATAGTTGTCTCTGAGGGCCGAATATTGCTGGAGTTGGATCGTTTCCGATATCCTGCAACATCCTCTGTACCTTAGAGTGTTCACTCGTACACTCTATGGTACATGCTCACCTCCCCCCTCACCAAGAACAAGTAGAGCAAGACCATACAATTAATAAATGTTTTTATATCGTTAATAAATGTTTACAGTGTAATATGTCTCTTAATTATCATCATAACTCCAAACCAAATGCACTGATAGTTTGGTAGGACTGACTCGTCTTTTTTGTATAACACCCTATTGGTAGTTTATACTACAATTCTGATAAATTTGGGTGTCCCATATGATGATATTAAGTGCCTATTTACACTAGCATTTAAAGGGATTGTTCAAGAAACACCCTAGATAGCTATAAACCAAAGGGACTCGTCAACCCTAGGTAGCTATAAACTAAAGGGACTCATCAACCCTAGTTAGCAATAAACTAAAGGGACTCATCAACCCTAGTTGACTAAAATTAAAGGGACTGTTCCCTGATTCTAAAGGGACTGTGCTTTATAACCGTCCAACTGTACATTGAAGGGATTCAACATTAAAGGGATTGTTCACAACTTCCCTTAATTTTTTAAAAGGCCTGTTTATTCTGCAATGTAATTTCTGGCTCTTTATTGCAGGGATACATTGCAGGAATAGATTTGTGTGCTATAAACATTGTTAATTGTCCAGTTGTATGGAAATTATTCAATCTAGTTTTGTACAATGTACATCCAAGCTCACTATTTGCAAGGATACATTGCACACATTAATTGATGCTGTATTGAGCAGTATATTGTATTTTAATTATACCATTTATATGGCAAATTAATTACTATAGTTCTTATTTGTATATACAATGTATGTCCAAGCTCATTATTGCAAGGTTACATTGTAAATATAAATGCATCATTTGAGCACCGTTTATGTTTTCCAACTACTTGGAAACTTTTTATCTATGTGCTCTTAACCATATGTGACCATGTCTAATATGAGAACTCGATCACAAGGTTTATCTACCGCTAGTTCTGATGGTGTTCTAAATCCAGTTCCTACTCCAAGAACAAGAACACCAACTAGTGATGGTCTTTCCCAAAACTATTCTCTTCAAAGACCTGTATCTGTTATTGGTCGACTGATGGATAGTGTGTCTACCTCATCAACATTGAGAGATGATGGGGAAATTAGCTCTCAAGATTCCCTTCTCAGCCCATATGTTCCAACTCCTAGAGCAAGATCAGCCTCTACTTTTGATACTGCAGCATTGACTGATAAGGAGCCATCCTTATCTTGGGACAATCTTGGCCTCCGAAACCAACCTCCATGCAGAATGGTGGAGAGAGAAGTAGAACCAGAACCAGAGAAACCTCCTGATAGAAACCTGGAGGATTTAAGGGATCAAATCAAGTCAATGAACTCTCAGGTTGAGAAAATTGCTGCCTATTCTCAGGAGCATTTGTCACAAGAATCTTTCGACCAATATTTGTTAATTCTTAACAAGGTGCGGAGTACTTGTCGATCATTGATAAATCAAGATGATGGTTGTTATGGTCTTCCTCTCACTAACATTTTAGATTATGCAACCATTGTTGTAGATAATATGAAAGTTGTGTCACAACCACCCACCGAGGCCATAAGAAACCAAACCCCTGTTTCATTGGGTACTGATGTGGAAAGTGTAAATCTTGAAAGTAGCTCTTCAATGGATTACTTGGCTGCTAAGATTTCTGAGATTTATGTGCATACAGACCAGCAAATGTCACGTGTAAGACAGGAGCTCCAGCAAGATCTAGCTAAGTATATTTCTGCTGCTGAGATACGTATCACAGAGCATGTGCGTGCTGCAATTGCTCGTGAATACAGTAGTATTGGAGCTCGTTGTATTCAAAACAGAAGTCTTGTAATTTCTGAAATGAAGAAACTAAAAACCGATTTGACTGAAATTCGGTCTTCTTCAGATGAAAATCACTCTGAATACAAAATGCGTGAAAAAATTCTCCCAAAGTGGAAAAAATCAAAAATTCCGCCAAAAAACAATATTGAATTGTGTATGGTCTGGTCTAGTCAGTTATATAAAAGATTTTACCCTTGAAGAAGAATCTAACCTGCAGACTGGGACAGTAACATTCCTGCAGCTGGATCTAGTTTTTATTTCCTTCCGCAGAGTACATTTACCACCCTGAATATATTTCACAGATTTACGCTTTTAAAGGGACTGTGAGCGTAATTTTTAGTGAACTTCCATACAACGCTTTTAAAGGGACTGTAAGTGTAATTTTAAGTGACCCTCCATACAAAGAGAGCAATGCCCGATTCAAAAATGTTTGTATGAATTATGAATTAAATTATTTTTAATCGTGGGTTTCACAAAAGCTGCTTGCGTATTTCTACTGGAGGAACACATCTTGGAATTCTTAGAATTTAACACTTCTTAAAATTAGAAAAATCACAATATCTTTTTAAAATTAGAAAAATGGCAATATCTTCCACATTATTGTTGTCTGATGCACATAAAACTGCAAACCAACTTGCATAAATGTCGTATTTCTATTTCACAGGTTTTACAGGCCTCCCACTGTACAATTTAAGATATATCAATAGGCTCACTGATATTGCACATTTGAAAAATAAAGTTTTTATCCTAAACCACATTTACACTCCTTGTAACGATATCCTTTAATGTGAACGGGGAATTTGCTTTGAAAATCTTACTTCTAGTGTTTTCGTTTTAAGACTTTTGAAAGCAATCGTTTTGAAATTTTCTAAAACGATTTCTTTCGTTTTTTGTTTTTTGCCAATCGTTTCGAAAATTTCGAAACGATTTTTGAAAATCCGTACTTACATCAGGATACGTAATCTCAATGCTGTCAAGATTAACATTCTCTGCAAGTTTAATATTAATTTTATCCTCCTCTGTTAGGGAAATGGATTCATCACACGAGCAATCAGGAACCTAGAAAACATATTAACATTTTTACATTTTGTTTTTATTGGTTCGAACCTTATCCTTTTTTTTGAGACAATTAAGGTTTGTCCCAAAATTGTGGTCCTAGTTAGAAGTCTAGTCTAGCTTTAAAACCATTTTCCCCTTTAAATGTAACTTTAGGTATTTTTTATTTTAATACTTTATTTTGGACGATGTATTTCAAATACAGGGTGTCCCAATAAACATGGGAATTAAATGACGACTTCTGTATTGTCTTTGTTCAATACGGGATTATTTCGTAAACATAATTTTGTAGTATCACAGTTAAAACATTTACCACCGAAAACTAGGGGTCTCGGTATTTCTTTGGGATTTCTGTACTGTACACGTGCTGTACTGTACACTGTACACTAAGGGTGATTGGTTTGTGACTTTTTTAGAAATCAGCCAGCCGCCCATATGAGGTTGCTGCGTTTTTACTTAAAAAAAATATTGTAATAATAAAAAAAATCAAAATCGTCCAGAGGGTTGCGAATTGACGATTTAATATTGGAGAAATCGCCGTAAGCCTAAAAAAAAAATATTTCAAAAAATAAATAGGTTAGATAATTTTCTTGGAAATATAAAGCTGAACTCAGATTTGAAAAGCATTTTTAAAAATATTAAAATCTAGAGAAGTTATGGCCAAAAAGGTATTACATTCCGGTTTTTTAACTTGTTCATGTTTTTGATGAGTTTTTTTAGCTCTAACTCACTCAATTTTAATTTTTTTTAACGCTTTTTAGATTCAGCCCTTTTCCCTGTTTCGTGGTTTCCCTGTTTTAATAATAATAAATTTCTTTTACCTTTGTGAGTACTATTCTCTATGTTTAGATCACAATTTACATGTTTTAAGTTATCTTTTACACTTTTACCTTTGCTTGCATTCTACTTTTGTACTTTCACCTTTGTTTGCATTCTATTTTTACACTTTTACCTTTGTTTGTGCTCAATTTTTACACTTTTATCTTTGTTTGCATTCTATTTTTACACATTTACCTTTGTTTGCATTCTATTTTTACACTTTTACCTTTGTTT